CCCAGGCGCCCCTCAATGTTACGTTTTTATAATTCACCCATGGTGGTATGTGCTATGATTCACTCATTGTCATTGCTGTGTAATATTCTACTGTCTGAATAAACTCCAATTACTTATCTGTTGTGTTATTGATAGAATTGGGTTGTTTCCAATTTGGAGCTTACCCCCGCTCCCAATTTTTCCAGTCACCCCTACTGCTCTCCTCTTGTCATATATTTTCCAAAATATAACAGGATTAGAAACAGGAGACAATGAGACTTATCTACTAACAGTCATTATAAACTTTTTCTGGAAAATTATCTTCAACAAACTCATTTGACCAGACTTACCCATTGATGCTGTGAGACCTACAGAGGTGCCAAGTAAATGGTAAAACACTAAAAATATTGAGTATGAGTTCTCTTACGACAATTATTACACTTCTAGAACCAATGTAATTAGTTAGCTAACATTAATATGCACACAGTGTCAGGTATTAGGTGCTAATCCTCCCCAAGCTCATCAGAGTAGGAGCTCTTATCACCATTTTACAGATGGTGACACTGAGGCACAGAGGAGCAGGCCCTTACATGCCATCACACAGATGCAACCCAGATGATCAGACCCCATAACTGCTCTCACCTGTTGTACTACATACTTTAACTAAAGGCAAACATGGGGAGAAAAGGTAGAACTTATATTTAAGGTCAGGTTCTGTTTTCAAGATCACATGACACAGACTTCTGATAGAAAACAGTCATGTCAGTGCAGCCGCGATAACCTGTGTTGAGGCAGAAGAAGGATTTGTAGGTGGGCTCCCCTGCAGCTAACATGTTAGGGCTCTTCATTTGCAGCTGGTCCTGCAGGGGCAGAGGGGCTCTGGCAGTGACCTTATGGAGCGCCCACACCGAAGCCGACACCGCAATCTACAGCCACAATTCCCCAGCATCTGTGCAGAAGGTCCCCTGGGGCTGGGTCACAGTCCGAGGTTAGACAGTCGGTGTCACAAGGCTGTGTAAGGTAAACAGCAAAGACAGCCTAGGCAGCGGCATTTCATTCCACACAAAATCTTCAGTGTCTTCTCCAGAACTGCCTTCTCACCAGCCATCAGGGAGTGTCTGGTGAATGATCTAGAAGAAAAAAATGTGAAACTGGTTTGACCGGCTTTATGAAACTGCGTCCTTCTGCTGTTAGAATAATTAGGATGGCATTCTGAACAAAGCTCTGATTCCCCATGCTTTCCTCCTCCCTGGAAATATTTTATTCTTCAGAACCTGCTATGGGCACGCTCATAAACAGAGCTGCACATGGCCTTCCCCGCCAAAGCGTCTGTTTGTGGCGGCCCAGATACTGTCGGGAGCGTGCGACATTGTCTTCCTGCAACCAAAAGCAAGGGCAGACAATTAAAACCCTGATTTATTTATACGTCTCCTCTCTTTCCTTCAATTGAATATCTTCTTCAGAAGAATTCTGTTAATATGATTTATCACAATAAACAGCATGGTTCCTGCTTTAATTGATTTATCTTTTTCTCCATTTAAAATTTTTCCTGTAACTCTATCCTGCATCAACTTCTGTTGTCTTTTTTACACTCCCCCGTATCTTTGCTGACTTTGATAATTTCTACAGAGACTAGATTTTTTTTATACAGTCTGCATCTTAAATCATTCATTTTCTCATTTTTAAAGTGCTGATTATAATCATCCCTTAAATTTACTGAAAATTAGCATGAGTTTTAAACCATTAGTCAAAAAAGAAGAGGCTTTTTAAAAGAAAGCTCCCTGCTGTTCTTTGTGGATGAAACAGTTGACATTTTGTTAAGAGATTTTTATCCGACTTTAATTCTCTAGCTTTAATGTATTCTTCAGTTATAAATGGAATGGTTTGTCCTAAATGGAAGTGTATCTATTTAAGCATAGTTATATCCAGTCTTTAAAATGGATCATTTCATTTCACACATGCTATAGAATCTTGAATTTCACCTTTACTCATCTCAATTTCTTTACTAAAAACGACTCTGTTGCTCCAAATTCCTATATCAATGGGTTGGATATATCAAATTGTGGTAGTAATTGTTCATAAGTACATATTTTATAAGATGTACTAATGGAGTAATAAAATATATTGCAATAACAATATGCTCTGCCTGATAGAATTTCATCATGAGACTCCATTAACACATTCGGCTGATACCAGCTTTTGAAAACGCCTTCCATTGTGGTGGTAGGGAACTACTCTACATAAATGAACAGAGAAAATGGGATTCAAATAGGAATTTCTAGGAAGGCTGAGTGGAATGAAAAAAAAATACAGAAACATGAATGAATGCTGACCAAGCGTTTTTGACATTGCTTGAAACTGGATCGATCCTGTGGCTCCCTGGACTCTTGTAACACCGCAACCTTCCACGACTTCCAGGCCAGGCTCTGCCCTTGTGCCTGAATGACACTGCTTTGCCGAGGTCACCAAGGGGTTCCTAATTGGCAACCCCAATGGCCAGATCTTAGTCTTCGTCTTCCTCAGACAGGCATTAGCCCTTCCTTTTTCTAATTTCCCTCTTCCCTGGACTTTGTGCAGGGCTGGCCCTGCCACCTGCCTGAAGGATCCCCTTCAAGCATACCAGTTGCTAGGGCTCCATGCTGCACACCCTGCCTGTTCCCTGGGTTCCATCTCTGCTCTCCTGCTGCTCCCCTGCCCCAGGGATCTCTCCTCCTCTTCCCTCTTCACCACTCCCAGGGCTGACTTTTCAACCCCATGCCAACGCCTGTGAAATGCACTGAATCCAAGTCAACTTGTCGCAAACCAGACACTTTCACTGTTTTTCAAACCAGGTCTTCCGGGGGCCATTAGCCCTGTGCAGCTTCCTCGGGGCTCCTTGTGATCCTGAGTTGTTTCCCTGATTCCTTCCTCGTCTTCTCTGATTCATCCTGCTCAGTATTAGAAATTAGTTCTCAGGCCAAGTTCCTACTAAAAACAACTCCAGTGATTCCTTACCATTTGCCAATTAAAGTTTATTAAAGTTTCTTCATGACCAAGCTGTAATTTCTTCCTAGAGTTATTTCCCACTGTAATGTATATATGTTCTCTGCACTGCTGCCAAACTTAATTGCTTGTAAACATTATGGTTAATAAATATTATTTCCACTAGCTCTCAGGTTCTGTAAATATGTGAACATACAAATGACTAAACAGCATAAGAAAGATGACTTAATATAGCCCTCTCACCGTGAGATACGTAAACATAAAATTATAATTTTGAAATAATATGTAAAGTTCAAAAAAATTCTTGTTTCAGTTATGTAGATTATCTTAAGAATTATGCTAAAATCTAAAATAACTTCCTTTTTTGTGTGTATACTCTTCTCCTGTTTTTGTAGGAAACAATCTGATAGCTTAACACCTGACTTTCTCTTCCCAATTAAAGGTCGTTTAACTCACATAGATTATACATAAACTTTTTTGATCTTAATTAACTCTTTGTCTGATTTCATGTGTTTCTTGACTAAGATTTCTATCATCCCGGTCACAATCCATTTGACATCCTCTCAGCAAAAAGCTGGCCCTTCAGTTAGGAAATAGAGCCACAATTTTACACCTATTCCCAGCCTTAAACATACCATCTGACCCCTCAGCAGCTGCCCTGCCCTCTATCCACAACCCCTTCCTTTCCAGTTTTGTGCTTCAAACAGACCCCTGGACTTATGGGACTTTGCCTTCTGATCTTTCCTTATTTACATAAATACACAATGCAATGCATACTGGAATAGTTTATTGAATTTAAATAGGTAATATATTTACAGTGGTGTGTGTATTTTTTTTTTTCCTTCTACAAGGCTGGGCTTCTGAAATGTCATTGACTTTCTTTTGTCAAACCATCTTGATCATCCTTCTGGGCTCATTATGTTAAAGTAGAAAGTGTATTTCACTAGAACCCTCTGTTCATAAACAGCTACTCATTCCCCCTCAGGGAGCCACACCCCATGGGCCAGGAGGATGCTGGGAACTCGCACCATACAGCTGAGTGTTTGGCTTAGTTACAATCGGGTAATTGCCTCTGACCCTGTTCCTAAGCTGTGATTTCCAATAGCTACAGGGATTTCCTCTACTTCCGACCTGACTGAACCCATTGTGTAACTGGCATGGTATGATAGCCCTAATGTGGAGAAGAATGAACAATTCTCTGGAGGCAGACAAGGGATTGATTTCGAACACAGGGACTGATTACATTTCAGGCAACAGGACTGTAATTTAAGGGGTAAAGCAGAGTCAATGAGGCCAATATAATGGTTTCCTCTACAAGCACTGATGCAATTAGCAACTAATTTTAATTGAAAAGGTGCAGGAACTCTTGGCCCTGTTCCTCTGGCCATCAGAAAATAGGAAATGGGAGGGAAAACCAAGTCAAGTGTTCATTTTGGTGGAATGGTAATGCATATTTAGTAATACCAAATCTAAAAAACAGAAATCACTTTAATAGATTCAAGTTCTGTTATATTATGCCATTGGTTTGACCTGGTTTGAATAAGAATAATTGGCATTTCATTTATACGCATTATTGAAGGTTATTAAGGAGATACTTTCTCTATCCCCAAAGCCACTCTTTCTTTTTAAATTTAAATTCAGTTAATTAACATATAATGTATTATTTGTTTCAGGGGTATAAGTCCGTCCCAAAGCCACTCTTACCATGTAGTCTGTGCCCCTAAATTTTCACCAAATTTGCCAAACAGAAATTCAGTTTATTATATTAGGCCTAAACCATTCTGGCTACTGAAGTCCCTTCTTACATGCTATCATACTTCAGTAAACGTCAGGAACACCTGGGATACCATGTCTCTGATTCTGATTCACTGGGCCTAGGATAGGACCCAAGAACTTATATTTTCCTTAAGCATGTTCAGTGAATCTCGTATATGAATTGCATTTTGATAAATACTGCTCTACATCTAGAGATTACATATGAACTAGGTATCAATTATCAAATGTCTTGGGCTTATCTGAAATAATTTTTTCTTCAACAGCATGTTGGAATATTGGAACACGAATCAGCTCAGCTTCAAGAGAGGGTCATGGCAAGAAGAAAGCACGCAGCATGGGCTGGTTGCCTGAAAACACAGGCTCAGACTGGGTGTCTGGGCAGGGAGCCCTGAGTGGGTGATCCGAAGCCTGCATATGTATGTGTGTTGGGTGCATGTGGCCAGCAGCAGGGTGAAGATTGAAGTTGGATCGGTATCTGAGGGGGATTACCTGGGATTCACTCTTGGCGTCATGTAAGAATAAGTGTTTCCATTTTGCACCCTGGGCACCTCATTCACCTCACCCTAGTCCTGGCTTTGGCAGATAGCCTCTGAAACGGCTGCCAATGATCCTACCTTCAGGGATTCATGCCCTTGTGTAATCTGCGACTCGTGTGTGGACTGAACCTAATAACTTGTGTCTAATGAGTAGAGTAGAGCAAAGGTGATGGGATGCCACTTCTAAGAGGAGGTTATAAGAGACTGTGACTTCTACCTTATACCCCCCACCGCCCATCTTTTGTTTTTTAACTCTGATGAAACAAGTTGCCATTTGTGACTATTGAGGCCTATTGGCATTTCTGCCTTATTGGGAGACCTATGTGGCAGGGAACTGAGGGTGACCTCCAGACAACAGCCAGTGGGTCCTTCCCTGGTTGAATCTTCATAGAAGACCACAGCCTCCGTGGACAGCTTGATTGTAATCTGCGGGAGACTCTGCACCCGAAGCTCCGGCTAAGCCTTGCCCAGATTCCTGACCACAGAAACTGTGAGATTCTCAATACTGTTGTTTTAAGTCACTGTGTCTTAGAGTAATGTTTTATGCAGCAATAAACAACTAACATAGTGCGGAAAGATCCTGGTGGTGGTGGTGGTGGAGTGTTGGTTGTTGAACCCAAAGAACAACATAAACAAGGAAAAGTGAGAAGGTACTGAGGACACACTGAACCCAGTTTTGTGTATTTTAGACAGTTTGGGCCAGGGATGGTTCTTCCTATGGGGTTGCTTCTTTTTCTTCTCCTTTACCTCCTCCAACCCTTTGCTTCCTTAAGAGGGGGAAAAAAAGCTGGAGAGTTGCTTTATCAGTGTTAAAACTGCTAAACTTTGAAATTTCTTCTATTAAATGTCCAAGATTATTGCCATCACCACCTCCTTGTCTACCATAAACTCCTTCCCTGAAATTTGCCATGGTTCCCAGTAAGAAGGTGACTGTATTTAATAGTGATAATATCTTCAGCCAGCAGCCACAGCCACTAGAATACAAAAATTAAAATGTCTGACACTGCAAGGATGTAGAACAACTTGAACTTTGTATACATTGCTGGTGGGAATGCAAAATGGGGTGGTCACTTAGGAAAACACCATGACACTACCTTATAGAGTTAAACCTAAATCTACCATGTGACCCAGTAATTATACTCCTAGATAGCTATCCAAGAGAAATAAAAACTTCTGTGTACACAAAGGCTTACATTAAAATATTTATAGCATTTTACTTGTAATAGTCCAAAGCTAGAAACAATCCCCAAATACTCATCAACTAGTGAAGAGATAAGCAAAACTGGCATTACAGATTGTCCTCTGTTCCCCTTTGTCTTTCTCAGGGTCCTCTCAGGTGAGCGCCTTTCTTCTAACACCATAAATAGTCATATTCCTCCTAGGCTTTGGGTTTGGGGCTCAAGAGGGAGGGCATTACCTTTCTGATGGGAGAGCTAACAAGTGGGACCTTCTACACTAACTTAGATTTGTCCTTTTTATGGGCCTCTGACATTCACTTGCCAATTAGCTCTTGGAAGCCTCTATTGGAAATAAGGTGCTTCTGAGATTTTTGATGCAGGGATGCAGCTCAGAAATATAAGTGGCCTCCTTAATATTCTGCATCACTAGCTAAGGCTTACACAGCAAATATCCATGCCCATCAAAAAAAAAGTCTAAGGTAAAAGTGCATGCCTAGCATAATGTTAGAGCCATCGAATCACTATGTTGTACACCTGAAACTAATGTAACGTTGTGTGTCAACTATACTTCAATTTAAAAAAGTACATGCAAGAGGTTCATAGGAATAAAAGGGCCATTATGGAAGCAATGGAAGAACTAGTATAGGCCAAGTGAAATCTGCCACGAACTTCAGTCCCTCAAGAGGAATACCCTATAGCTCACTGTAGTTCTATTATTTTTTTCTCTTTTTAAGCCTACCTAATGATTCTTAACTTAGAACTGACAAGCTACATAGAGTACATGAGTCAGGACCAGGACCTGCAGAGGTCAAGAAACTTTATTCTTTATGAATGATTGCAGAGAAAAGATAAACATCATCATCAATGGGGTATTTTTTTTTTCTTGTAACGGTATGGCATCTTCCTTCCAGATCGATGTCAGCACATCCCTTGTCAAGCAAGTCTATAATTCCACCTCAGGCAACTCCTTTTATGGGCATGACAAAGTCATTGGCTGATTTAAATGAAGGAAGGGGGCTGAACATTTAGAATAAAGATGAAAAAAATTTTGAATTTTTGTGAGCACTGATAACTAACTTTCCACACACACAAAATCACTAGTGATTAAAAAATAACTATTAAATATAACTAATATCACACTATACCAGTATATGTGGTTTTGACTCATTATCCCCCCTTTTTCTTTCTCATATTTGTCTAGTCTTGTGTGCTTGCTTAAAACCAATGAGGCCATGGCAAGGTTAGAGTTGAGACCAGTTCTTTAAGGGCTATTTCTTGTTCTGCTGAGAGTGTATCTTCAGTTGCCAGGGGAAGACGTGTGCATGAATTCTCTTGCCTGGGTTAAGGTCATCTATAGCCGTGTAGAATGAACCCAGCTGTGGCAAGTTGGTAAGTCCAAGTTTCAAGATGACACAAAGGGATGGAGTCAGGCAAGAACCAGAAGATTTGGGGCCAAGTTAAATGCTATTGCTTAATGGGAAAGAGGAGAGGAAGGAGGACATGGAAATGCGCAGGCCAGTTCCTGCTGAGATGATATGCCTCTGGAAACCCTGCATGCTTAGTGTTAACTTGGTGTTGGTTTGTGTATTTTCAAAATCTGCAGTGGGTGGCTTCCACAGTCACCCTGTGACTGGGAACCTGGCACCCTTTGATGACTTTCACCCTTTCAGTGTTCTTGAGACTTGTCTGAGAGGTTCTAATTCAAAGGAAGCTTTTACTTTGAAAGCTTCAAAAGTCATTTCTCTCTACAGATTATATGTGGAGTGAAAGGCGTGTTTACACTTAGCTCCAATTGCTCTTAAATCCCTCAACTTGTTCTTGCTGGTAAAATTTATGCGAGTGGGAAAGAGATTATTTCTAGGTATGGAGTGTGTGTTAGAAGTTATTTTTTTTTTCATTCTCATTCAACAAATATACACTAAGCACCCGCTAGATTTGGGGGTACATGGGCAAAGTGCCTGTTTCAGAGCTTGTGCAAAGTCTCAATTCCTGAGGGATCCAAGCCCTGCTCTTTGAGCCCTGGGTCGAACCACAGACACAGGTAGTGCTGACAGCCATGTTCTTGTCATGGCTGAAGGCTTCCGGGGGATGGATCTTTGAGGAGCTACCTTAGCTGAGGCTCTCTTGGTTGAATCTCTAAGTACAGTTGCACAAGCCAAAGCTTCCTGTTGTGTAATGTAGCCTAAGGGGAGAGAAATGAGAGAAAGTTCAAAGTCAACAGTCTTACAAAACAAATAAGCAAACAACACTGCAAATATTTACGGATTCATAAAATGTCTTCTACTTTGCAGGGTAGAGACAGTTGTGTTTAGCACACCAAGACTGTATGATTTTTGAGGATATGAAGTAGACTTTTCTTCTTTTGCATTTCTTGTTCAGTAAGTTAATACATAGTCATTGATTAACATGACAAATCGCTTGGAGAGGAAGCTAGGCCTTGAGTCATCTGAGCATGCATTGCATATCTTTATTTTCAAAACTTTCTTCAAACCAGAAACAGAGATATTCAATCTCTGTCAGGGTTTTTAAAGTGTAGTCTGCAGACCACCCACTACAGAATCATCAGGCTGAGACCACATTTAATAATGCTTTTTAAAAATTCAGATTTCTGGCTCTATTTCAAAGACTTTCCTGATCAGAAACTCAGAGAGCTACAACATCACTCGGCATCAGGGAAATCCAAATCAAAACCTCAATGAGATACCACCTCACACCAGTCAGAATGGCTAAAATTAACAAGTCAGGAAACGACAGATGTTGGCGGGGATGTGGAGAAAGGGGAACCCTCCTACACTGTTGGTGGGAATGCAAGATGGTGCAACCACTTTGGAAAACAGTATGGAGGTTCCTCAAAAAGTTGAAAATGGAGCTACCGTACGATCCAGCAATTGCACTACTGGGTATTTACCCCAAAGATACAAATGTAGGGATCCGAAGGGGTACGTGCCCCCCAATGTTTATAGCAGCAATGTCCACAATAGCCAAACTGTGGAAAGAGCCAAGATGTCCATCGACAGATGAATGGATAAAGAAGATGTGGTATATATATACAACGGAATATTATGCAGCCATCAAAAGGAATGAGATCTTGCCATTTGCAATGATGTGGATGGAACTGGAGGGTGTTATGCTGAGTGAAATAAGTCAATCAGAGAAAGACATGTATCATATGACCTCACTGATATGAGGAATTCTTAATCTCAGGAAACAAAGTGAGGGTTGCTGGAGTGGTGGGGGGTGGGAGGGATGGGGTGGCTGGGTGATAGACATTGGGGAGGGTATGTGCTATGGCGAGTGCTGTGAATTGTGCAAGACTGTTGAATCACAGATCTGTACTTCTGAAACAAATAATGCAATATATGTTAAGAAAAAAAAAAGAAGATAGCAGGAGGGGAAGAGTGAGGGGGGGAAATTGGAGGGGGAGACAAACCATGAGAGACGATGGACTCTGAAAAACAAACTGAGGGTTCTAGAGGGGAGGAGGGTAGGGGGATGGGTTAGCCTGGTGATGGGTATTAAAGAGGGCACATTCTGCATGGAGCACTGGGTGTTATGCACAAACAATGAATCATGGAACACTACATCCAAAACTAATGATATAATGTATGGTGATTAACATAACAATAAAAAAATTAAAAAAAAGAAACTCAGAGAGCTAGGCCTGGAAATCTGCATGCTGATAACATAACGCAGGTAGATTTTATGTGCACTAAATACTGAATATCCCTGCTCTGGTTTCACTGGCCTCTATGCAGTTTTGCTCTACAAACAAAGCTAGTAGGTGATGATTCTGCAGGAATGCAGGCAATCATGGGGAGCAGGCTGCATCCTGGCTCTGACATTTACTAGTTGCATGACCCTGGTCAAATGATTTCTTATCCACGCCTCAATTTTCTCTTCTGTAAAATGTGAGTTGTAAAGGCACCTACCATCTAGAGGTGTCTGAGTTTCAAATAAGACAGTATATGCAAAGCACCTAGAACTGTGCTAGGCACAAAGGGAAGCCTAATAACAGATAACTATTGTTACTGTTCTTGTTACTCAGTCGTTGGCAAAAACCATGTCTTCCTTTTGTGCAAATGCAGGAACAGCAATATAAGGTAGACGTGCTAACGTGAAGTGAGCTGCTTAAAAAAGAAAGCTCTGCCAGAGTCAGGAGAAGAGTGTAATAGAGGCCAGCTGGAGACTGAAAGCGTTTCCTAGAAGAAAAGGGACTTAACAACAATCACACCTCCAAAGGTTGTACTTAAAAGTCCGTGAAGGTCTTTTGCAACCATTATTTCATTTGTGCTTCATAAAATCCCACGAGGTTTCGACAAGAGAGATGTCAGAGCATGGGGGTGAAAATGTATGCTCTTTGCCGGCAAGGCCGTGACATTCGCTAGGCGTATGTCTGTCTTGATCAGGTTATATAATCTGTCTGAGCTGCAGTTTCCCACCGCTGTAAAGTGGGGAGAAAATGAGATGTTGTGTGTAGATCTCCTAGCACAATGTCTGGAACATGGTAAATGCCTAATAAGTGTAACTGTTATTGTGGTGAGTAAACTGAGCCTCTGAATTTGCATATCTAGCAAGGGGCTGAGCAGTGGTTTGAGCCTAGACCATCTGCCTAAGCCCATCGCCGTTTCTACTAGATCAAGTTCCTCTAAATCTCAGACAGTTGTTGACACTTCATAGCAATCCGTACTCTGATTTCTTGAAACCCTCTTAATTTACCCATAAAACCTTGCTTTCCATTGTCAGGGATAATCATTTTTAAACATGGCCTGCCAATTGTGTTATATTATAGCACGCTGGCAGAGGCCATTCTACTTGAATTATTTATCTGGAAACTTGACTTCCGGCTCCAGCACACAAGTCCCTCCCAAGGGTGCCTGGTTTAGGTCAGGTAGTTAAAACTCACCAAGCAGCTGCTGGTGCTGAAGGCTGTGAATATAGCGGTTCTGCAGGGCCTCCCACTGGGGTCTGGAATTGTAAATCCTCATGATGCTATAAAAGTAGCGTTGCTGCCCTTGGGTTAGGTCCTGTCAAAGCAGAGCAGGTGATTTTGATGAGTTGGTGGAGTTCTATAGGACTAAGAGTGTGATGTATTCAAAGCTGACTTCTTTGGAAATAAGATATATATGTATACATATACATATATATGTATAACAATTTTCTATATATACATTTCACAATTGGAAAACAACAATTGGGTCGTGTCTTCCCCTAGTTTACTTAAACAACTTCCATTGGCCTGTGTGATAGTGAACCTGGGTAAATAAAAGATTCTAGGTAAGTAGGTCAAGGTATTGGGCTGAGAGGGATCTAAGGATTTCCAACACTTTATAATTTTTTACAATTTTATTCCTGTATTATGATCCTTGTTGAAGAAGGTAGGCTGTGAGAATCTACACAGGGCCTGATGTAGGCCAGGCCAGTGAGTGGGGACAAGAGAACTTTCCACCAAGAGTTGTCAGTAAGCAGGGGAGATAGCTAGATGAGTAGATGGGTAATGGGATAAAGGCTCAACATTATTACTTTAAAGCTGCTACAAAAACAGAGACGAAAACAAAGTCTGTGCAGCAATCAAGGAAGGCTTTTTCAATGAGGTGACCAAAACATCTGAGTCTTAGAGTGAGGAGGAATTTCCCAAGGAACTAGAATACTGGTTCTCAAAGGGCATCGACATCACCTGGGAATGTGTTAGAAATGCAAATTCTCAGGCCCCATCCTCGATCTACAGAATCCTAAACTCCAGGGAGTGGGGCATGGCACTCTGGGTTTTAACAAACTCTCTAGGTGATTCTGTTACAAGGACACCAAAATTTGAGAACCACTGTGCTAGAAGAAAAAGAAAAGCTAATTAGTGGGAGAAAGTGGTATAAATTTTCCTGTGGGACACAAAATGTCTGGATATAGTAGGAACCAGACTTTTTTTTTTTTTTTTTTTTTCACTTCAGGCAGAATATAGAGTCTGAGCTGGGGAAGGCCGTAGAGTTAGGCAGGGGGAGATCATGGAAGCCTTATAGGCAGTGTTCACATTCAAATTTAAAAAATAAGAATTAAAAAAAGAGTTGAAAGATTACCTTTAATATGAGGAGCCACTGAAGGTCTTTATTTAAATAAAGTGGTTCTCAACGGGAGTGATTTTGACCACTAAGGACATTTGGCAATGTGGGAAGACACTTTTGCTTGGCATAAATGGTGGAATGGAGGATGGATGCTACCGGCTGTCGGCAGATAGAGGCCAGGAGCGCTGCTGAACATCCCACAGTGCACGCGACAGCCTCCCAGTCCCTCACAACAGAGAATGATCCAACCCGAAACGTCATACTTGAAAGATCACTTTGGCCCCTCCATGGAGAATGAGCTTATGGGAGGACAGGCCATTGGAAGGGAGAGCATTTAGAAGACTGCCATGTAGTGCAAAGGGAGGAACAAGAAGGACCTAGACTACAGTTAACTGTCCTCTACCTAATCTGTTGTCAGTGCTTACCATGATACTGGCCTCAACATTCTAGAAAAACCAAGGTGCGGTAAGTTTACCCTAGGCCACAAAAGGCAAAACAGTGATTGAAGCTTCAAAAGTAGTTGATAACCATTGTAATGGAAACTAAATTTAAGTTAAGTATATATAACAGTAAAGTGGCTTTTATCTGTTAGAAATTTTGTGTGGAGTTGAAACCTCTGAGTCAGATTTTTTTTTTTTTTTTTTGCTGTCTAGAGACCTTAAACTTGATATCAAAAATATATCCAGAGTGAAAGTAGCAAAGCCAAGTACTTCACAATTTGAGGCATCGTGTGAACTTTACAGTTTCTGAATTAGATGTTTTAAAAAAGAATATCTTTGAAGAAGATAATTGATTCCTAATTAAGCCTTTGCAATGATGGAGAACAATATAATATGAAAATAGCAGCCAGTTTCGAGAGCAAGGCTCCAAAGGGCAATGAGAGTTTCCGTTCTATAAGATAAAATCTTAAAAGTTATGGTTTTATTTTACAGGGGGGGAAAAAAGTCTATGTCTTTTCCTTAGCAGAGGTCTAAACTTCCTAAATAATAGTCCTAATATTCTTACCCTGTTGTTTATCCTTCTTGGGGGGATAGAAGAGAACTGAAATTTTTGCAAAAAGTATTAATGACTGGGTGTTGTACGAAAACAATGAATCGTGGATCACTGCATCAAATACTGGTTATGTTTTGTATGGTGACTAACATAACATAATAAAATAAAATTTAAAAAAAGTATTAATGAGAATGGCTTTAAATAACTGTGATTGAAAGGAGCTACCATAGCTCTCTAGCAGGGAGCCACAGCGTGGTCAGCTGTGAGCTGCCCATTACTGGGAGTGCTTCAGCAATGAGGATGTGACTATCTACAGAGCTCCTGAAATGGGATGGGTGTAGGACCAGACCGTGCAATTGCTCATTCTTTCACCATGCACACCATTAACATGCACTGAGTGCCTATGTTGAGCCCGATGTTACCTAAAGCTGGATAAACAAAGACAGGAGAAAAAGCCCTCAAGCCTTGAGGCAGAGACAGGCAAGTTCCATCCATTAGTGAATGATACACTATACCTTCATTAAGGGAGTGTTGTGGGTGTAGGCAGAGGAAGGGACCCGAATGCAAGGAATCCGTGGAACATTCCAAAGCTTTTGTCGTCTTTTCTGTTTTTCTCCCATTCTTTATCCTGTACCTCCAGGGAACAACAAAGCATAGCATGAAATTTCATTTTGTTCAACCTGTTTTGGGAATGGACCTAAGTAAATAAGTAAGCAAGCAAGCAAGTAAATAAATAAACAAATAAATAAATGTCATTTATGTCAAGGGATAAAAAGTTTTCTCTCATGTTTCTAAGTAATTGGATCTCAGCAGACCGCTTAGTTCTGTACTTTGCCCTATTCTCCCTGCCCCTCCGGTTGTGGAAAGAGTAATTCAGAGTTCTTTGTCTTTCGGCTTCATCTTGTGTTTGCAATAGGTGGACTGTAGAACCACATCACGTCACAAGTTATTTCTTGATCATTTTAAGTAATAGTTATTACCTTATTTGATTGTAAAAGTAACATATGTCATTTTTGAAAATTTGAAAAAAATCTAAAAATTGAAGAAGAAAATATGATTATCCATAATCTAACTGTCCATAACTGTTGGTGGCATTTGATTGATTTCCTTTTACTCTTTTTTTTTCCTGGGTACATTTTGATTTTAGAAAAGAGAGACCATACTCTATATGTTGTGCACTTTCCCAGCTCATGGAATATCCCTTAAAAAATATGATTTTTAGTCAAAGTATAGTATTCCTTTACATTATTCTCCATTTCTTGCACCTTTTGATTTGCAATTTTACAGCAGTGTACTATAAAAGAAACTGTTAAACTTAGCTGTATTTCTTGCCACTTGCCTGACAAAATGAAGGAGCCACACCTGCTATGAGTAAGTCTTTTTTCTTTACCATATATTTTAGGGTTTGGAATCTGAGATGTCTATGAGTGTAAAAAAAATTAATCCGGGGTAGTGGATAGATTAGAATAGGGTTGCCAAGGCATAGACTGAGAATCCCAAGCGTTTTCCCCTCTGCTCACACCTTTGTCCTTGCCAAACCTGCCCCGTTGGGTTGTTTGATTAGCTGAGATCATGGCTATGGAAAGCTCTCATCCTTTTTTCTCTTCTCTCCCCATATTATACGCTCTCACGTACGTGCACACGCAAAAGCACCCACATGTACACACTGAAGAAGTATTTTAACATGTGAGGAATCTCTGCTTCTGAGTTCACAAAGCGAAGGCTCAGATCTTCCAGAAGAGAAATTTATTAGGAAAACATCGGTCAGCATCTCTGTGTGTCCTGTTTCCACGATAAAACTTATAAATTAAACTCTAAATATTTTATTTAATACTGCTTTCCCTCATCATGCGCTTCAGAAACCATACCAACTGAGATATACTCTTTTAATATTCTCTGTGTTAGAAGCCAACATTCTATCCTGTACTCAGATCATCTCAGTATCCCTCCTCGCGTTTTCCAGGTCTGTAGAGCAGAGCATAAATATTCTTCAAAGCTAGAAAGGTTTCTTCTTTCCTCAAATAGCATAAGGAAATGACTGACGATCTTTCTTGTGGCAACAATTCATGTGCGCTTTTCTCGGGCTATTGCTGAGGAAATCCATCTTAGCTATTCAAGTGGACTATACCTGGTAAAGTTTGATTAAAATGCTTGGAGAATTCAAGGAGGACAAATCTACCAAATATCTTATGCCCGAACCAAAAAGGACAAATTTGCTTAAAAGACTTACCCTGTATTATGATCTCCCCCTTTTTAGAAGCTCATACTCATATTCAGTGTAGTTTCCTTGCAGGGTCTCTTTCTTCATGTGAAGGTGGCAGTAGAAATTCAGTCTGTTGATAAGCTGATATCCAAGCAACATCACGTGATGACATAAGGAGCTGGGGGAATTTGGCCGCATGCCTTTCCCTGCTTCTGGGCAACGTTCAACTGCATAGTTTATCTGTTTTCTTTCAAATTTTGTGTCTCATCAAGTGCCAACTTCTAAATCTACCATATCTGCATTATGTGCAGACATGAGAAAATAAAGTGCATGGAGACAGAGAGGCTGAATATTAAAGGTCAAGAAGTCCACCAGAGCAATGGGTCATTACATGAGTATTTCCCACATTTGGAGTCAGTACCCCCCACCCGCATTGCTCAGAATGTTGAAGGAAGAGTTTCTAAATATAGAGGTACAGGTACTGTGGTAACCTATGGAATTGTCCCATTGCTCAAGATAATAGTCCTTTCTTAATTTTTGGAGGAGTAAGATATTCTCATTTTTGACCTTGGATAGAGGCTGTGTATGATGATACTGAACCTGTGGCACAAGGATCTTTCCCACACTGATGTCATCAGCGTAAGGCTTACATTTTAACCTGACTCATGAAAGCAATCTTATCCCTTCCTCTGGGCTAGCATTATTACCACAGACTTCCTTTTTTCCTTGAGAATCCTCCTTCTGAATGTCAGATTATCTGTAAAAATGAAGACTTGATAGAGAAAATGAAAGAGAAGTACCAAAAGAAAACTACAAATTCAAAATTCTCAGGCGTGTAAGGGGAAGAAAAAACCAGGGAGATAAGAGTGATGAATTGTGTAGCTTAAGGAAGAAAGGGAAGGGACTTACCAGACACAGGAAGTTTGTATTTTCTTCAATAATTTAAATACAGACCTTCTGGGGAAGAAACATGGCAGAAATAAGAGTCTATAAAAGTCTGTGAACACCACAAACCTCTCACGGGATCTGAGAGTTTGGCGATTCTCTACTGAGAGATAAAGAACAGTTGCTTGCAGAGCTGACATCGTCAATTGTCAATTGAGTCTTCCTTGAATGTTTTCCCAGCATATGATGAAATGGCTTCTAGGGCACACCACATCTGCTGACTGTTACACACACGGGCTGATTCATAGCAGTGTGCATCAGTCCCTGCATAACCAGGAAAACAGACACAGATCTAGGTGTTTGACAAAGAGGGAATTTAATGTAAGGAATCTGTTACAGAAGTATCGGAGTGAGCTGGGGGACAAAACAAGAAAGGTCAACTTGCGCAAAGATTGGCAATTACACTCAACCACTCTCAGACCTAGAGCTGGCGGACAACAGGGAAAATGATTTACCCAGAGTCCATAAACACTGTGCCTTTGGGGCTGCTTCTGTAGGAACATGGTCCGAGTAGCACCTTCAAGACCTGACGCTCAGCCAGTGCCCTCGCTTCTGTGTTCTGTCCTTAATGTTACAGTTGCTGTAACAACTGTTACACCATCACTGTCCCTGCTGCTGATGTCCCTGACATGGTTGTGGATGCTGCCACTCCCACAGACGCAAGCAGAAACCGTGAAAGCGACATTTCCTCCCCCTCACCCCACTTTCCATCTTCTTTATCTCCCATTGGCTGCCAGTTGGTGAGGGATTCTGCAAAATGTATTTTGCGGTCTTCCCACTACTTTGGTAAAGAGAAGGGTATAGAAGGGCAAGTACAAAGCTGAGAGATATTGAACACTATCTGAACACATGGAGATACATACCATCAGTGAAAATCTAAGAGATACCTCTTGTTTCTATGATGTCCGGTGGGAGGCTGAAACACTTAGATATACAGTCAGTGTTTGCCTATTGCCACTAAAGTTTGGAGTTTTTAAAGAAAAAACAAAAGAGATAATTAACCAGCTCTGTAGTTAGTGTCAAGGAATGAGATAGGAGTTTTTGGTCAATAACTCAACATTTAAGAATTATGAAACCATGTATATTGTCAGTTTTAATCAAAGAAATTATTTTCCAAGGACTAACTAGACTTTTCAAAAGGAATTAAAACTGGCTACGAAAAAGAAAAAATAGAAACAACCAAAAACTAATTACTATAAGGAGTATAATGTTGACTATTGGTAGAAAAGATACATGCTATTTCATGGCTGAAACATTGGTACAGCAGTGGGACACAATGATTAACATGGTGGTGTACCTACACAACAATTCTTAGAACATGGGTAGAAATGTGTTTTCATAGACTAGCAGGGTAAATGTGATCTCATGGGCATTACCAAGTGAGGAAGAGAGACCCATGACTGGAATCCAAGATGAGGTTAAACCCTAATTCAAAGAATCCAGTCTGCTAGAACAAGAGGCAGAGCATAACTATTTTATTGAGGTAAGTACTTCCCTGGAAAACCATGAACCCAAAATGAAATTACCTGCTCATATCTTTCTACTCTTGCTCCTTCTCCAGGATGTTCTTAGCTGCAGATCTCTCCGTGGGGATAGCTCTGCTAGGCACGGATATCCTCCCTCTGTTACCCCAAGCCCTCAGAGGACCTCAGTGCACCATAATGAAATGAAGGAACTGTCCCCTCCCCACTCTGAGCTTCTGTTTATCACCTGGACTTTTGGATGTCTCCACTCAAGAGTCTTACACAGACTTTGTTAGACACTGTTTCTCATAGGACTACCTAGCCCGTTGGATTCAATCTTGTTTGGTGGGGGCTGGAGTGGGTGTCAGTTATCCCTCTACTATTTTGTTTTATTTCTCTGATCTCTTCACATAAAACCCCCACTTCTCCAAGACCCCAAACCAAGGCTCTCACACACACCAACACCTTAGGAGTCACTGGTCTCAAAAACAAGAAAACTTGAGTCCCAGTTTGGACTCTAAGAGCTACTTTTAGTGAGTAAAAACTACTTTGAACACTTAAAGGCAGTGATTATCAGGAAAGGAAAAGCTGGGTATGGTCATCTATATGCTGAGGACTTTGGGAAAACAGATTTAAGAAGCACTGGACAAAAATCTAAAGTGGAATATAGCTCAAGAACAAAATTGTCTATGGATTTAATTTTGATTCTATAATCCCAAGTAAATGCTATGGAAGAAAGAGGTATAATGTCAAAAGGAACTAGAATAGGTGTACTGGGAGTTTGTAGATAATTCTAGATTCAAGACCATGATTTTTTTTTTTTTAATTGTAGGAATTTATAAGAAAGTTTTCTCATTAGGGACTAGCAGTGGTCCTTTAAAAACAGATCTTCTGGCATAGTTATTAAGCTGTAGAGCCAGGACTCAAACCCATGGTTACCCGAGGTCTATGATTTCTGCCCTTGGCCTCTGGAAATAAAAGGGAATTTGAGCAACACACACATTGCTAT